ATTTGAGAGTGTATGATATTATAATGGGATAGCATGTACCATATAATCACACAAATTTTAGCAAAAGGGTATTTTAGACAATTAACTACAATTATTAAAAGAAATTTTCGGATATTTATGGATAATTAATTCTCCTAATTTTAAAAATATGATTTTTTTAATTAATTCAATTTTAATTCTAACTTAATTTGTAAAAATAACCGATTTATTCTGTCAGAATTTTTTTTTAGTTAGAATGATGGTCTTTCAAAATTTTATTCTATTAGATTATTATTGAATAATAACAAAGTTTTGGAATCCGAGGTTGAAAAATAACTACATTCTAACATATTTTGTCAGAATAACATAATGTCAATCATAAACTAGTAAATACATTCTGAAAAGAATACACAAAATAGATTCTTGAACTAATAATATACCAAAGAATTAATTGTGATTCTTTGAATTATAACAACATTCTAAAAGAATAACAAGTGTAATTCTTAAAAAATAACAACATTCTTAAACATTGAGTGTGATCATTCTTTAATTCATTCTTCAAACTTTTTCCCATCAGTTCTTCAAGCCATTTCTATCACAAATTCTGTTAGAATGCAACAGTAAAATTATGTTAGAATACATTATCAACATATAAATATTAAAATTTTATCAAAATAAAACAGCAAAATTCTAGCAGAATTTATTATCAACATATAAATAATTAACCAAAACCATAATCGGAAGACATGAATAAAAAAAATTAACAAATTTTTATCCTCTCAATTTATTAACAATCAAATGAATAATTTTTTTTTACAGATTTGATACTTCCATGGTCCTGCAAAACAATTTATAATACAATTGAAACAAAGTTGATTCAAGTGTTTTGTTAAACACCTTACTTACAACAAAAACCTTTATGAAGAAACCATTTATATATGCCAAAAAAATAGTTGAACTTATATAAAAAGATTTGATAGAAAATCCAGAAACTTGATTTAAGCATTTTATCGAGCAGTGAGTATGCAACATGAAACTTTCTTTAAATTCTCAATAATAACAGCTTATCCATTGGCCAATCTTGAAACTTGTGAAAAACATGAAAAACAAAAATCTTGTCTCTTAGGATTTTTAACAAAGAGTTGGTAGGCACTAAATAAATAATTGGTTGCTCAATGTCTTTTTCAAATTCAAGCACAGGAGACTTCAAACCTTGTATCACTCCATATGAAGCCAACAATAAACGGAATTGGTTGATAATTCTTGGAAAGAATGCATTCTTTAATTTTTAGTACTCTGTTTTGTTTGCTAATTAAAGACCGTTTATTCATAACAAAATTATGATAAAAATTAATAATAATGCAACTCAAATAATTTATACACGCTACTACTATTATTATAATAAAAAATTAATAATAATGCAACTCAAATAATTTATACACATTCGCGAACCACTATTTAACCATGAACGAATGATAGAAAATTACTTAAGATGGAAGAAATCATTTACCTCCTAGTTATATTGCAAAACTTTGACGCTGGATTTGAGATATTAGGGAGTTTTAATTTATCACATTGAAACTTGCTTGGATGGTGAAGCCGTCAACACAATTTAAGTTAGAATCAATGTGATCTGCGACCACTACTGGTGGTTGCCGCCGGCAGCAAATGGTCTACGACCATCTTCAATTAAACGGTCAGTCTCAGGGGAATCGGTGGTGGTGTTTTTGGGTCTATAGAAGAAGAAGAAGCGGTGGATCATAAACAATGGTGAGTACGATTTAGGGCTAAATGTTCTAAATTTATATTTGCTTATTGCGTGATATCATGAATATATTGATTATCTACCATAATTAACTATGCAAAGATTACTATAATACCCTTAAATGATTTATTTAATTATTTATTTTTTTTCTAAATTTCTATTGGTGCATTCATGCACACAATAGTTGCTATAAACATTTGAACCTAACTCTCTCTCTCTCTCTATATATATATATATATATATATATATATATATATATATATATATATATATATATATAGGGAAGGGTTATATGAAAAATAAACAATTAGGGCAACACATGTTGGAACCAATGAAAGCATGACAACACATCATTTTGGAATAACTATATGAATAACAATTAGGGCAACACATGTTGGAACCAATGAAAGCATGACAACACGTGTCACTTGATCATTGGTTCCAGCATATGTTGCCCTAATTGTTCATTTTCCATTGAACCTACTTCAATATATATATATATATATATATATATATATATATATATATATATATATATATATATATATATATAGGTTCAGGTTCATTTGAGATCATTCTAATTTTGTGAGACCGTGAGACCAAATCTAAAAATAATTTTAAAATGCAAAATAAATAAAAAAATCCAAAAATTCTTTTTTTAAATATTATTTTCGGAACTTGAATTAACTAAAAAAATATAAAAATATATAAAAAATTCCTTTTTTTTTTAAAATACGTGAAATATTCTAAATAGAATATTACACTGATATATTCTAAAAAATAATTTTAAAATGCAAAATAAATGGAAAAATCTAAAAATTCTTTTTTTAAATATTATTTTCGGAACTTGAATTAACTAAAAAAATAAAAAAAATAAAAAAAAATTCTATTTTTTTTTTGAAAAATACGTGAAATATTCTAAATAGAATATTACACTGTACATATTCTAAAAATAATTTTAAAATGCAAAATAAATGGAAAAATCAAAAAATTCTTTTTTTAAATATTATTTTCGGAACATGAATTAACTAAAAAAAATTAAAAAAAAATAAAAAAATACGTCTCACGGTCTCACAAAATATAGGTGGTCTCAAATGAACCTAACCCAATATATATATGGGGCTAACAGGTGACGGGGAGCCGGGTTTAAGTCCAGCTCCACACAAACTTATACACATTTACATATCTACTTATCTAGCCCGTCCCCATGAAATCTTGTTCAAATTAAGGCTACAATTTACAAAACATCCCCCAACATCCAAAATTCTTTCATACTAAATCCAAATGATATCAAACACCAACTGAGTTCTAAATCCTTTGCAAAGTAAACCCCAGAATTACACTTTAACCCCCAGAACTTCGATTCTAGTCATTTAGCTTTCCGAAACCAACACCCCGTTAAATACTATTTGATTTTGGACAATAATAATATTAGATAATAATAAAAAATCACTTCTCGGTGTTTATTATTTAATTATCTGACTTTAAAAGGAATGTTACATTTTATTTCATTAATTAATGTTTTTATTCTTTTTCTATTAGAGTTTCTTACTTTTAGTAAAACCTTTAAGTTTTTGTGAGTTATATTTGTTAGGCGATATTTTATATTATTTAACTGCATTCATGTAATTCTCCTTCTAAGCCTCTTATTTCTTCGATAAGATTACCATTATAATGATTAATTAGTTGTGTTTTATTACTACTCATGTTACTTATTTATCATGTTATTGGAAGTTTTATTTTCGTAGGGAGGTTTATAGTTTTCTCGTAAGTTTTTATTTTATTTAATGGTTGTTGCATAATGTTAAGTATTTCTTGTATTTGCTTATAGTTTTTATTAATAAATCTAGTAATTGTTTGAACATTAATAATCTAAGTATTTATGTTGTGGTGTTTAATATTTTGTTTGCTAATTTTTTTCTCCTAGCTATAATTTTTCTAGTTTTTCTATCATTTTTAATTCTTTGAAATATTTAGATATAATTTCTTGATATGTTATTTTAGATTCATAAATTTAATGATTTAATCATTTGTTTTATATCTTCTATATTTTTATTATCTGTAATTTGAGTAGAAGTTGTAGTTTCGATAGATGTTGAAAGTTGATAGTCTACCGATGATCGTCCTTTTAATGTTGAGATTTGTGGTTCTATGTATGTAATAGGATCTCTTTTAATTAATGATGTATTTATCATATTTCGAAAAATTTGATTCATGAAACAATCAATTATTTTCTAATTTTGGTAATTTAAAGGATATTAATGTTGCAAATAATTTATCAATATTATGTTCTGTTTAAAATAATACTATGATGAGAATTTGTTAGTGCATAATTTATTTGGTATGGTATAGTAAAAGGGTGATTGCTTTTATCTTAATAATCTATATCTTACTATAATAATATAACTTAAGTTTTCATGTTTAAACTTAAATCCTAATTGAATATTTATATTAAATTTTATTTTTTCTTCTACCATGTTTCTTTTTCCTTTGGTAATAGTACTTTCTTGATCATTAATTATTCGATCATTTTTAATTTCTAATTCTATGGATGAATCTAAATTGCTAAAAATATTTTTTTAAAATTATTTAATATATATATATATATATATATATATATATATATATATATATATATATATATATATATATATATGAATATATGTTATTTTTTACTGCTCTAATTCTTTAATATATGTATTATATTTCTTAGTTGTTTGTTTATTTTAAAAATAATAATATTTCTTTCCTTTGATTCTATAGGGGATTGACTCTTCCCTATTCCCTTTCTATAATAAATAATGTTTTTTTAGAAAATAATTTTTAAGCATATTATATTTAAAATTATGTTCTTCTGATAGTGTAAAATTTGTTTTTCTTATAGTATCTTTGCTAACGAGTAGTATATATAAATTTGTTTTTCTTATAGTATCTTTGCTAACGAGTGCATCTAGTATGTATCGTGATTCATTTTCTTCATTAATGATTAGAGATTCATTTATATTCTCATTAGATATAGAAATCATAATCTAGCTCTAATACCAAATGTTTCAAAATACAAAATTTTCAAAATAATATTTAAAAATAAAAATTATAAAATATTAAAAATGATAAATAAGAGAGTAAATGATCATATGATCGATATTCGTCTGTTTGTCAAGTTCTTTAATGATCTTTTTATGATATTTTTAGAGTAGGTGATATGTTATTCATAAAATAGAAACTTCAACATAAACATTTAAAAGTAAACTTATTTCACTTATTTCACTTTGCTTTATTTTATAGGATCAATGATCCTTGTACAGACAATATTTTAGAAAGACAATATTTTAGAAACGACAAACAACATACTCAATTACCTATGCTAGATATATACCAAATTTGACACTATATAGAACATGTATTTGATGCTACTATGTATTATCGAGAGAGCCCAAGTTGAAAAGTTAAAAATTTACAGAAACCAGGTTTCAAGAGGTTGGATCAGGCGGTTTAACCCGGTTTCCTTTTGAACCGCCCGGCTTACACCGGGTCGTGTAAAGATGGTTTTTATGCCTGAAAAAACCGGTGGCCTCACCCGGTTTTCAAAACAATGGGTGGATGGTATTACAAACAATGTCCTTTGTACAAACTACTAAACTATAAGCAAAGTCGGAAAAGTACAACTGCAAGATAGTTATCTTATCTACAACCCATTCTGCTTATGTACACCTTTCCGGTGCATGTTTCTGGCTCCTCACCAGCATTACCGAACAGCTGCAGCAGGTTTTCTATACGTATGCCTTCTCGCTAACACAACAAATACTCCCAAATTCACGAAACTTAAACCAGCCAAAAGCCAGAAGAAATAATCAAGGTGACCATAGTTGAGATTGTCCGTGATCCACCCCGCACCACCACCCCGTGTACTAATAATCGTCACAATCGTCACAAGCAAAGCACTCACATAGCTCCCAAGTGCAGTAATTGTTAACTGAAGAGCCGCACACAAACTTCTCATAGAATCAGGAGCTTGATCATAAAAAAACTCCAATTGCCCAATAAATGTAAACACTTCAGCACACCCAATTAAAAAATACTGTGGCACCTGCCAAAAAATTGACATGGGAATCCGATCCAGTTCATAGTAATCGTTTCTTGATACAATCTGTAGCCTAACGACTTCAAGAACACCAGCACAAACCATGCTAAAGATGGAAATGAATAATCCAGTCCCAATCCGTTGGAGCTGGGTCAACCCGTTTTGTTGACCCGTGACCCGTCTGGCCACTTCGACAATGACCCGGTCATAAACCGGGACCCAGAATACTACGCTGATTGTGTCGAATACCCCGAGTGAAGCGGGCGGGATCTCGAACCCGGATATTCCGACCCGTGGGTCGAGAGTGGAGCCCTGTAACACAAATAGGTTACTCATTTGGGCGTAAACTGTGGAGAAAATGATACCAGTGGCCCATATTGGAAGTAAACGTATCACGGCTTTTAGTTCCTCAACTTGGGTCACAGAGCAAAGGTTCCATGGGTTTATCGACCCGTTTGGTGTAACCACAGCTGCCTTATCGAAAAAACTTGAAACAACAAAGTTGTGTAATTATGAATTAGTAATAAGATTAGATAACACACGTACCCAAAGTTGTGTAATTATGAATTAGAGGGGATTACTTACACCAAATCAAACGTATGATCAATCTTTCGGCTTCCTGAATTAGAAAAACCGGCTTCTTCTGAAGACTCGTATAAAAGTGAACTATCTAATGGCACTTCGATCTTTCTCTTTCTAAGAGAAGCAACTGCCACCTGGCACAACCGAGTGAGCGGGCTACCACCTGGTAACTGATTCCGGTACAATTTAGTACCTGAAAAAAATGAAATCACAGCAATTCCCATTGCAATAGTAGGAATTGAAAACCCCCAACCCCAACCCACATTATCTTGAATCCAAACGAGAACTGAATGAGCCACGAGTGCACCGATGTTTATGACAAAATAAAACCAATTAAAAAAAGAACTCTTTTGTTTTTCCTCGACCTCATCATGATCATCGAACTGATCCGCACCGTAAGACGAGACACAGGGTTTAATTCCCCCGGTTCCTAGAGCCACGAGGTAAAGAGACGTGAAACATAATGCGATTTGAGCTTTTGTTGCGGTGCAAACATCTTTTTCGTAACATGTTGGTTTTAGCCCCGGGACGGATGCCGATAGTGTTAACATTCCCATTCCCTATAAACATATTTCTTTATTGTTACTGTTACTGTTACTGCTGTTGTTACTGTTATTGTTACTGTTAGACTTACGATTGCATAAATGATGGAGAAGGTGGCGATGGTCCAATATCGTCCGATATAAGTATCGGCCACGAAGGCTCCGATTAATGGGGTGAGATAGCAAGTTCCGGTCCAAGTTGAAAGATTTCTTGAAGCGGTTGCGCTATGCTCATTCAAATGATACTTAAAATATCGGACCAAATTAGAGCTCATTCCATAATATGCCAATCTTTCACAACATTCATTGCCTACATATACAACACAATAAATAATTATAAACAGGTTGTACCACGTATGGGACTAAGATCTTTAGGGGTAGGTGTAATAGGGTACTATGTGAATAGGACAAAAATATGTCTTATAAAAAATATAGAAAACTTGTCTAGTATTGTCTTTGTCTTGTCTTAGGTAACAAAATCACCCTAAAATCAGCCCAAAGGATAAAGATAGTAATCACCTAAGATGAAGCCACATGCCTTCCAAGTTCCGGTTTTTTTCTTATTAGCTGGATTTTTAAGGTAATCTACAGTCCCATCTTCGGTGTAGGTGTCATCTTCTTGCTTAGATTCCAGCAAATTATAGGTACCTGAAGATAGATAAATCTCTCTGATAACCAAATTGTATGATAACACATGTAAATGATTTATTTAATTTACTTGAATATCTCCGAAAGAAGTCAAAGTAGCATAGTTTTTTTTAAAGGACGTGGTTTACTTTAAGGTCCATGAAGAAGATATCACTGAAGGAAAAGTTAATCAAACGACAAATAACAAGAGACCCTTCGGGTAATGAGGATATTAAACAAGTAATCAGCACAATTACAAGATTAATTGTTGTTTTCAGCGATTAACTACAAGGGTTTGACTTAAAGAGCAAGAACATGACTGATACAAAAAGGATGATTTCAACACGATATCTTCAATTAACTGCATAAAACAATAATTAAAATAGAAACTAACGAAGTAATGAACAGATTAAAGCTAATCCGATCATGAATTGAGAGTACCCATATGGGAATTTTGCTCCATCTTTATGAGAAAATATCAGATAGCCAGGAACTCCACTCTGAACACTGATGATCTTTTAACAAGGCCCTTCAACTTCAGGTCAACCTTCCAACCCTCGATGGAATCTTCAAAATATGTTCTTTAGCGGTTGCATGCTTGAAACTGCGTCTGAATCTGGAAATTCTCGTTGAAAGTTGGGTTAAATGATAAAGAGATTCGGGACTTTTTGGGTGAATAAAAGGTTCCAGATCAAAAGTTACAAAATTTAGAAGATTATTTATGTAGTAACATGTAACTTATACATTAAAAATTGTATATTGTTTGCTATTTCCGAAATTTAAACCTGGAAAAACACTATGTTGGGGATCTCGCTCTATAGTTTCATTTGCATCCCAAGGTTCTTACTAAATGACAGATATTGCACTTATATTACAGAATATTATAGAAGAGAAGTTATAAAAATATAAAATTGCAAATTTGGTCTCTGAGTTTGTAAAAAATTAAGACTTGGTCCAAAGAGTTTTGGAGTCGCACTACTAGTCCAAAAAGCTTATTTTGTTGCGATTTTAGTCCGTTTCAAATCTAAAAGTTGCTAAAATGACATTTTTTTGCCTGTTTATTTCTTTTTTTCATTTTCGTTCTATTTACTTAATTATTTTTTATATTAAAAATAAAAAATACAACTCTCTCTCTCTCTCTCTCTCTCTCTTGTAAAAACCATTATATTAAGAAGATTTCTTGAGTTTGTTCAACACACACACACACTTGAGAACACAATTTGAATCACATACTTGATTTTATGTGTTTACTCTTCAACACACACACACACACAAGAAGATTTCTTGAGTTTGTTCAACACACACACACACACACTTGAGAACACAATTTGAATCACATACTTGATTTTATGTGTTTACTCTTCAACACACACACACACACGATTCTTAATTGTAAAATCGATTATATAGAGTCTGGAAAAGCTTTTTGAAAATCACCAGATGGAGGAGATGATGACAATTTTGTAGGTTTCTTTAAGAACTATTGATTTCTGAAAATCACTAGAGGATATGAACTCAAGCAGATGTGCTCGAGTTCTGAAAATCCACCCACTAATTTTTTTTTCCTTTTTTGACAACACTTGCAAATCAGAAACAAAGGAGATCTCTCTCTTAATCAGAACATCCAACCACTGCTCTCGCTTCTGTTTCTCAGTTTCAGTCCTCCATCAAAATCCCACAGAAGGAAAGGGATTTCCCATGTTGCTTTGCAACCATCTTTATCGGTGAGGAGGCTGGGTCTCGCTCCCCTTAAAATCAAACTCGATAAACTTCAAATTAGATTTGATGATCTGAAATTATGATCAAGTAAACCAAAAAAATTGATTTTTCTACTTGATATATGTAATAAAAATAACATGAAATCAAATTCAATCAATAGACCTGGAAGCTCCATGAAATCAAACCATGTTAACTTAAACCCCCCAAATCGAACCCTTAGACTTGTATCATCGCCTCTAGAAGGGATGGACAAAAAAAACCTAGAAAACCCCTCCACTTGAACTCGGTACCGATCTCCTTACCATTATCTCTCCAGTGAGAGAGAATCAGAGAATCGATCGAAGTTTGGAACAACATTAGTGACAACATGTCCAATGAGAGAGATTCGATTGAGCTTTCACATTGGGTTTTTTTGTATGCTTGTTATCGATGATAGATGAGAAAGATGGGCGATCGAAGTTTAAAAAAAAGGGTGAGGGGTGACGATGTCAGACATAGAGGAGGCGAGGGCAATGGACGCTGACGATAACGATGGTAGACTTAAATGGTGTGGTAGAGATGGATCTTCAGTGGCGCTGATGGAGATGTGTCTCGGTTGTTCATTGTTTTCATGGGTTCAGGATGAGTGAGGCGGTGGAATGTGTTCATGATTGTAACATCCATAAAATTTCTAAAAGTTTAAAACTTTTACATAAATCCAAAAACCATCATTTTTTGCAAATTGTTTTCAAAACGAGTTCAACATCAGAGAAATCCCAAAATCGTGAAATAAAAACATGAGGAGGTGCACGATCACGTCTTTTCCTTCCAATGATCTTCAGAAGTACCTGAAACATAATCCAAAATTGTAAGCCCAAAGCTTAGTGAGTTTCCCCAAAATACCAACACAATACAAAATCCAGAATAATATCACGAACAACATGCATTCAGAGCCTTCAGTCTGTCTGGAACACCCCACCAACCTACAGTCTATCTGGTACACTCACAGAACCTACAACATGACTGGTACGCCACCTTGGACCTTCAGCCTATCTGGAACATTCTCTGGGCCTTCGGTTTGACTGGTATGCCCCACTGGCCTTCAGTCTATCCGGGACGCCCTGTGTCTGCTGACCTTTAGCACAAAGCAGGTCCGTCTCAACCCAACCGCACAAAACATGTCGACATATACATAACAATTAAACATATAACCAGTCAGCAGACAAACAGGCGGATCTTACAAATTACTAAGCATAACATCATCTTATTATCAAGATACATATCTAACATATCACTACAGTACTCAATCATGAAATAATCAGGATAACAATCCAAAAGGGCTAGCCTTGGTGCCTTCGACCCAACAAGTACAGTGAGGAACACTCACCTCCAAGGTTGTAGAACTCATTACTTGGTACATGTTCGGCCGACTACCGAGTAGCAAGTACTCAGGAGTACTCGGATTCGATAATTCATGTAGAAATACTTTTAAGGACCTTATATATATATATATATATATATATATATATATATATATATGTCAAAATCATAAGTTAAAATCTTATTTTGATCGAAATATATAACAAAATTAGATATATGTGAATACACAAAAACTGAAAAGCACATAATGGTCTCACTTTGTGAATAATTACTAAATATTTCAAATATATATAGTAATAATAACATGTGTTTGTATTAAATAATAAATCTTTAAGTATATTATACATATTAATCACTGAGTTAACTGAGTTTTAAAACACTGCTCATTTCAGTAAGGGGCCGATCGGGGAGTACTCGGGATCCTGTAACTCGCCTCGGTAAGGGGCCGAGTAGCGAGTACTTGGAGGAGTAATCCGCTAACTCGGTGAGTTTTACAACACTGCTTACCTCACAAGTGGTGCTGAATTGGAAGAATCCAACTCCAAAACTTAGCTCCGAACTCAAATTCCTACAACCACCATGTGACCAACCCCATCAAAACCCCAAAATACCTAAAATGCCCTCAAGAGTCAAACTTGGTAAACCATGGTTAAATTCAAAGTCAACAGTCCATGTTGACCCAAATCGTCGAGTGCACCTACCAACTCGTCGAGTTCCTACAATATTCAGAGAAGTGGGAAAACCCTAGCCAACTCGCTGAGTTTTCCCAACTTAACATATTCAGTCCTTTTTCATCAAGTCTAACGCTTTAAAATGTAGATAGGATACCCAAGAGCTGAAAAACCATGTAAAGTTGCTAGCTTTACGTCCATGCATGTCATAAAGAGGCCCTAACACTCAAAGAAGGCTTAATAAGGGACCTAAAACATGAAGGAGGCCTAGATCTTGATAAAGCTTGAAACTTTAAGTCCAATGAGTCCACAAAATGTATAGATCTGAAGTGATAAATTCATGAAATAATCAACCCATGAACAAACCCAAAAAAGAGCCAAATATAACAATAGACTTCTAATGAAGAGATCTAAGAAATAGATAACCAAGGTGTAGACTTTATACCTCAAAATGATTGCAACAAAAGAGTAGGTCTAGATCTATACCCTTCCTTTCAATCAAGCCACCTCAAACTTCAAGCTCCTTCAAAAGAACACCAAGAAATCACTCTTTAAGCTCTCTCTCTCTCTCACACACAAATATGGGAGAGTATCCATGAAACTAGGGTTTCTTAATCAGCCGCCAACTCGTCGAGTTTGCCTCTCCAACTCGTCGAGTTGGTCCAAAAAGATGCGCGACCCAAGGCCTTTAAACACGTCGAGTTGAGGCCATCAACTTGACGAGTTCCAGTGGAAACTTGGCTTTTAATATACTAAATGTCATACCTAGGAATCGGGATGTTACAACGACGGTGGGTAACCATATATTAGGTTACCTGTTGATTTACGAATAAAGAGAAAGAAGGATTACCGGTTGTATGTGTGTGTGTGTGTGTGAGAGAGAGAGAGAGAGGTGTTATTTTCTTTTTTAATTGTTGTAAAAAAATTAAAAAACTAAATTAAAAGGGAAAATACATCACTTTAAATGTTTTCAAATAGTTGGACCAAACTTGCAACAAAAACAAAATAAACATTTTGGACCAATCGTACAACTCCAAAATATTCTGGACCAATCGTACAACTCCAAAATATTTTGGACCAATGTCCCAATTTTTGACTAACCAAATGAACCAAATTTACAATTTTGTTTTATAAAAATCTTTACATTAATTTGGTTTTTGGTATACAACTGGAAAAAGAAATACAGACACGTTAAAAACAAAGAGAGTTAAGGTTTATTAGCTTATATGGTAGTAAAACAAAATCTAAAAAAATAATGTTTAAGTTATATATATATATATATATATATATATATATATATATATATATATATATATATTGTTGTGACATGCTCTTCAAGGGGTTTGGATACTGAAGGATGGATCTATCTTGGGTGCTTGCCTGAGAACACAATCACAAAGGAACTGTTAGAGGACGACCGAGTGTTCTCTCAGGACATCGCTCCAACGATCAAGTTAGTCTAGGGTGAGAGAAAAATCTTAGGGTAATCTTCGTGAGAAAGAAGATGGATCCCTCCCTTGAGACATAAAAGATCCTTTTATACCTGTTACTAACGGATCGTGGGGACCGTGCCTTGTGAGCGTGAAACGTGGCTTCCTCTTGCTGGGAGAGCTATTCATGATAACTAACCGCCAGGTGATGTCAGTTCTGGGCATCACCTGGGCTATTTGTTTCTTTCTCATTGGTTATGAGTAAATGAGGAGATCACATGGGATGTTCTTCCCTTGTGACGAGAAATGAGCTGTCGCTTCGGCTTTGGCTCTCTGAGGCCAACACTAGGTCTCAGCCAAGGCAGTAACATCTCTGTTACATTTAACATGACCGTTAGGAAACGTTAACAAGTCCCTTAGACCACTAGGCTTCTGTATTCGTGTCGTAGCAGAGTTGTTCTGGTCTACTCATAGATACGTGGCGAACTGCTATTGACAGCTTGTGCAGTTGGCAGGTTGAAATCATCGTTATTTGGCGGTTTCATCACGAGGGCAGTTCATTACCTCCTTGATAGCATTAAAACCCTAGTTCCTTTTAGATTTTTCCTCATTTGCCTCTCCAACTCGTCGAGTTGGTCCAAAAAGATGCGCG